ATATTAATTGTATCAAAACGTGCTTGGATGGAAGTCACTGCGTTTGTAGCGGGGAGAGTATTTTAACTCGGTACGATGTGGAAGGAAATCTATTGTAAAAATCCAAGTCTGTAATAGTGCTTTAGGTTGGTTGCTTTTTATTGTTGCTCCAAGAGTACCGCTAATAAAAGCAGCCGTATAATTCTGCGAAATCCAAGTGGTTTATTCCTGAATGCTGGGCTTCACCCAAGCTTACAGCCTCAAGGAGGTTTTCAGACTCCAGTAGTGGGGATCCGGTTTTCTTCATACTGAGCTGCACCATCCACCCATTTGCTGTTAGGGCCTTTCTCTGTCCTCTAGTCATGGGTTGTCTCTTAGGCTCTGTCCTTAATTCTCCTCTTCTGCACCCTCTAGTTGCAGGTTTAGTACCGAGTATGGTCTTTGGTCAGGAGTTCCAATGTATTGCTGACTTGATTGGCACAGCCAAAAATCTTGGCTTGCTGTTGCAATACTGTGCTACCAAAATGTAATTGTCCTGGTGAAAAATAGATGCGAGAGCTTGATTACTTGTATTCATTAGGGATCACGTGGCATTTTTTGCAAGAGGAAGTAACAGTATCCTGGTCAAATTCCAACTTGGATAACTGCAAGTGAAATTTAGATGGACAAATGTAATATTGTTTGGCTACTGCACTGAGGAATAAGTAGCTGGGGGAAGGGAGAATGAGACAAAAGAATAAGTGCCTTAAATCAAGAGGCTGTATGAGGGATCTCTGAGGTGGGAACAAGCAGGGGACATGGTGTTCTTAATCTGATTTAGTGCTGCGACTCGAAAATGTCTCCATTGAAATTCTTCATGCGTATCTCCATTAATGGAATGTTGTTAGGTATAATATGTCCTCTTTCTGGGAAAGGATGGGCTCCCTTTGGGACATCCAGAAGGAAAAGAAGTATTCCTGTGTAGGTATGCACCTTGTTTGATGGAGAGGCATGTGGGAGTAGAGCAGAGTCTTGGGGCCATCCATGCTCCCGGGAGTCTAGGAGAAACGCAGATCAGCGTCGTGGCCCGGCATTGAGGCAGGTGGTGGTGATCTGAGGATATTCATTTTGAAATGGATAGTTGCCGTGATTTCTGTATCTCGGGAGTCTAGTACCGGTTCTGTTCCCCACAAAGGTGCACATGTTTGTACCTAACTGCTGGTTTTGCTTGAGATAGTGCTATAGGACAGTCTGCCCCCAGCAGATATAGCTCATAGATAATATACCCTGTGCTTTACCCCAGTTGTGCAGACTCAAACGAATTTGCTGAAGATTTTAGTGATCTTTTTTTTTTTAATTGACTTTGTTTTCTCTGTTGTCTTTTATAGATAAAATGTTCAACGGTTCGTTGGCAACTTTCTTCAGAAGAATAATTACTACTGCTCTGCTCTTGCCATAATACCAGAATTCTGTGACCTACACATCAGTGCTAAACACCAGCAGAGAACCATATTTTGTTCATTCTGTGTAGATGGAACAGGCATCGGTCTTGAGAGTCCATCCTGATGTAAAGCTGCTCACTTGGTTTTCTGGGGTTAAAGGTGCTCAATGAATCAGGGCCCCCCAAATGAGTCAAACAGCCAATTCTTGCCAACAGTTGGTTGAAAACTGTGCCGCGCATGTAGCAGGGATGGCACAAGAGGACAGTCGCCGTGGTCAAGTGCCACCCACGTTTTATCATGGTGCCAGCCAGGAACTTGATCTGTCCACCAAAGTATACAAGAGAGAGTCAGGAAGTCCTTACTCTGTGTTGGTGGACAGCAAAATGAGTAAACCACATCTCCATGAAAGAGAGGAGCAGCCATATTTCAGGGAGAACAGATCGGTAGGAGAGGTCCGGGCTGTGAAAGAAGATAGAGAAAACTCTGACGACTCTGAGGAGGAAGAAGAGGAGGAAGATGAAGTGACTTACAAAAGGGAGCAGATTATAGTAGAGGTAAACCTTAACAACCAAACATTAAATGTATCAAAAGGGGAGAAGGGTGTCCCCTCCCAGTCCAAAGAGACTGCTGTTCTTAAGACCAGCAGTGAGGAAGAGGAGGGTGACAGTGGGGAAGAGGCCACTGAAGACAGTAATGATGATGAGGAAAATGAGAGGCAGAAGAAAAAAGAGGAAAGAGGGGAAAAAGTTAGTGCTGCACAAAGGAGAACAAGGAGAGCTGCATCTGCTGCAGCAGGCACCACTTCCCCATCTCCCAGACCCAC